TTTAGATAGATGACCCTTGGGTTTCCTTCCAACTCTACAACTATGAGATTTCCAGGCTTTACAGCTGTTGTTGTTTTTTAAGCATTTCAGTGCTTTGCAGATCTTTGGTACTACTGCTTTCCCTTTGCTGGTTTGGTTTTGGTTTTATTTTGATGCTATTTAAAAAATGTTTGATTTTATGTCTATGCTGTATCCTATATTTTACGGTTTAAATAAATATAATCTGAGCAGGCTGAGGAGGGAAGAGGCAACATGAGGATGGAGCACACAGGCACAAAGCCAAGATTTGTATGTCTCAGCCAGCTCAATGTGTGCCTTTCACATACCCTTGACTCTTAAGATTTCTGGTTGACACAATTATTGTGTTCACCCACAGTTTGTTTTAAAATAATCATTGTGATCATGGTACCCTTGAGATAGAGTCAACAGATCTACACAGTTTGAATTTGATTGTAGTCATTTAGCTATAGCTTGAGAAGAAAACATTCGTTGGAATAGCTTTCTGCGATGAAGAGAAAGATGAAAACACAACAGGTTCTGGAATAGAAGTTGTTAAAAAATATTGTTATCTAAAAAGCAGTCAAGACTCCTGACAAAAGTTATGGAACGGTATTTGTTTTAAAACCATTGTTTTATTTAGAAATATAAATTGCTGGCTAAGGCAGAATTATTACCAATGTAGTAGCAGGAAAGCCTTTGAGCTCCTGGTTTATGAACTCAGACAAAGGAAAGAAAGTAATAGAACAATGTTAAGAAAAACTTTTGGGGATTACAGAAGACAACACAGCTGCAGAATGTCAACATTCAAGGAAAGAGAGAGGCAACTCTGAGGCAGTGTGGGTGTTTTGAGGAATTGGTAGCAAGAGGACATAACCTTGAATAAGAAGAAGCAAATCTGAAGACACAAATTCTTTTAGATTATGAGGTGTATAGAAATGTCCAAAACATATAAAAGAATGGATTACTGATAGGCATTTAGCTTAATCCCAGAAACCAAACACAGAGATTATATCATAGGACTGATTCATATATTCACACGGTGAAAGGAACTGATTCATATATTCACATGGTGAACTCCAGTCCATGGATCTAATTCATGCAGTGTTTCCCTCCCTTTAATGAGGAGGAAGGATCATGCAAATTGGACTTCTGTGTTTAGGCCTAAACTAGAATAAGGTGCACATGCTTGCCTGCTCCCTCCACCACAGAACAATGATAATTAGCTGGGTAAGTGCGTGAATCAATCATTAGAAACAAAGTCTACAGCTAATTGAATGGAAAATAAGGCCCATGCAGTACAGGACAATATGAACTGGAGTTCCTTATAATTCTGGGCTGCAGAAGACTGATAGAACACTGCCAAAGCCTCTAGTGAACAACTCAGACACTTTTATTTTGCTTTCTTTCATTCTTTTGTTCCCCTTCCCCAAAATACAGTACTTTACTGATTGTCCTCACAATACCCTGCGAGGTAGGTGACAGTCACTATTATGCTCTTTTCAAACAAAGCTGAAAGATACTTACGGTAATTTGCCCAAAGCCACATACTTGAGGTCATGGCAGATGTGTAATTTCAACCCAGAACCAAATTCAGTTCTCTTCCTGCAAGACCACATAGATGAGTGCTATTCCAGGAACTATTTGCAAAAAAGAGTAACGCATGACAAGACAGTAGAACTTTTCTTATCAGAAAGGGCTATTAAAAATTCTAATTTTATCTTATTTTGCATTATATATTAATAGTACATTCCCCATGTAATGTATACTTTACCCTCTGCTTTATCAGAAAGCATGACTATCTGAAAGACTCTTATATCTCTTCCATGCCTTATGAATAAACAAGGCTGTACAGTAATTCCTAGAATTAAAAAGAAAGAAAGTCCTTCTATTTCTGGGTGAGGCTGCCTGTGGCTGTCTTATCTCAAAATTAATGGTTTCTTCTTAGGGAGTTTTTTTTTAAAGTGTACTCACATAGTTTTGCAAAATAACAAAATATACATATATGGAAAATTATATAAAGTGGTACCTCGGATTAAGTACTTAATTCGTTCCGAGGGTCCGTACTTAACCTGAAACTGTTCTTAACCTGAAGCACCACTTTAGCTAATGGGGCCTCCTGCTGCTGCCGCCACGCCGGAGCACAATTTCTGTTCTCATCCTGAAGCAAAGTTCTTAACCTGAAGCACTATTTCTGGGTTAGCGGAGTCTGTAACCTGAAGCATATGTAACCTGAAGCGTATGTAACCCGAGGTACCACTGTACTGTATTAGATACAACACTAAGCCATAGTTTAGTGTTACATACACAAACCTCAGGCCCATATGCCCCCATCCTCCTCCAGCATGGCTTAGAGGAAATTGGAAGCATTTTCTGCTGTTTTTAACTAACCACAACTTCTCATGCCTAACAAATGATCTGGTTAAGACAAAATACTAAACTACCTCAGTTTCAGGTACTCTCCCTCCATCAGCACATGTATGACAGAGAGTCTGGAAGCAGTTGCTTCCATTTTAAATTAACCATGATTTATCCAAACCACAAACAATGGTTTAGGGAAAGAAGGGTGTGAATTGTTGTTTGAAGTCGGCATGTTTCCCTAAATCAAAGTTAAGACTAGCTACAGTTTATCCAGGTTTCAACATAGTGAGTAACTATGGTTAGGTAAACAGACAAGCCAAATATTCAGATTTCTTCCTCACGTCCATGTGAGGGGAGCTTCTAAGCCTGAAGCCTGCTTACTAAACCATTATTTAGCATTCCGTCCAAACAAGCTCAGACTGTGGCTAGTGTTAACTGTGACTTATTGAACTAAGCCAATTTCAAACCATGACTAAGCATTATGGTTTGTTCTTCAGGTGGCAGACACTGGATATTGCGTCTCGATGGTGCCGTCTGGCAATTGCCACCCTTCTGACCTGATGCTGGTTAGGTGCTTGTTTGTTGCTGGCTAGCTGTCTTGCCCAGTTGTATTCTCCCAACAAGTCACAGTTGGTGCTACTGGAAAAGGCACCTGATCAAGCAATCTGGCAGAGGGGCAGCCTGCCCAAGACCCCAGAGAGCAATGGCCATTGACTTAAGTGGGGCTTATTTCTGGCACCTCGTCAGAAGTGAGAAGGCAAGTGAGGTATTGTCTGAAGTTCCTACCTCTGGCTTGCTAGATTTAGACTGCAGTCCTATGCACCTAGCTTCTTGGGAGTAAACCCCAACGAACTTGATGAGTAGACATTTATAGGATTGTGTTGTTAAATGTTCAGCTTAAGGGTCATTTGTGATTTGTGATTGTGAATAACGCCATGTTTTTTAATGGAGATGGGTTTGCACTCGTGCCGATACATCGCCTTGCTAAAGGTGCAAGCAAGCCCAGGTATGCCTCTAGTCCCAGCTCAGTCCGAATGGCAACTAATGATGAGAGTCCCTCTTGGCTAAGCCATATAATCACATTTTCCACACGATTACCAAAACATGCCTTGGGTCTGGATCCAAGCAACTAGATTTATAAGCACTTGAATTTCGGAACGGGCAGTTTTTCATGTTGCAAGGCAAACTTCTATTGAAAATGAGGAGACTTTCAAAAGCAGTTTGTGATATGATAGGGGCTGGAGAAGGGATGAGCTGACCGGCTTCTCTAAGTAAAAAATCCTCCTGGGTGTGCCAAAGTCCTTGTGTGCTCATAAAGTACGGTAGTTATTTAGATCAGAGTCATGCAGAAAATTCAGACGGTGTTTCCACCATGTTGATACACCTGGGACTCTAAAGGGGGGAGAGGGGACCACAGCACTCCCCCCCCAAGATGGACCAGGGGGATTGAGGCCCCCACAACAATGCCTGCTTTTGTAGTCAGGAGGCTAGTTAATAAAGGAGAGGGAGAGATTTAACTCTAGGACTCAGAAACAAACTGTGATGCCTTGCTTGCTGTGCCTTGGAGCAGAAGTTAGTTGTGAAGGGAATGCATTGAGATGGAGGAAGAGTTGATGCTGACAGTAAAGAGGACAAGCTCCAAACACTGATCTCCTAGTTCTTCTACTGATCTCTAGTATTCCTGAACTTTATTTTCAGTATATTTGGAATCCCTTTTCTGTTAACCTTGGGCCTCCTTGAACCACCTACACCTTGCCTTAAATATATTTCTGTGGTTCCTGTGATAAATATTTTAATTAATGATGATCATGATGAATAAATATAAAAATAAAAATAAAAATAAAAAATACTGCCCTAAATCTAATAATAATAATAATTTATCATTTATACCCCACCCATCTGGCTGGGTTTCCCTAGCCACTCTGGGCGGCTTCCAACAAAAGATTAAAAATACATCAGTCATTAAAAACTTCCCTAAACAGGGCTGCCTTCAGATGTCTTCTAAAAGTCAGATAGTTGTTTATTTCCTTGACATCCTTGGCATTCCACAGGGCGGGCGCCACTACCAAGAAGACTGTCTGCCTGGTTCCCTGTAACTTCGCTTCTCACAGTGAGGGAACCGCCAGAAGGCCCTCGGAGCTGGACCTCAGTGTCCGGGCTGAACAATGGGGGTGGAGACACTCCTTCAGGTATATGCGCTGTTATAGATGGACCACTTGAATCCTGCCCAATGTTAGGGCCGGCTTTGCTTCGAACCATGGCAATAATATGACCATTCGGAGGCAGCCAGTATTGCGGCTCAGTTTGACCCGTCGGATATCCACATTTGGTGGGCGGTGGTATAAATTTCTCTTCTCCTTAAGCCTGGCGAAGGATGAAATCGCACAGGGGCGAGAGGGCTGTCTTGTTTATTGCTTTCCTCACCTGCTGTTTTAATTAAGCGTGCTTTTTTGCTGGTATGCGGGCCCCTTTGGCTGACATGGTGAATAGTTTTTGACAAGACCAAAAAGAAGGGAAAAAACCACCCACCACAAACTACGGCTGGGAAGATTGGATGCCAGTCAAGGGAGGGGCTCAAGCTAATGAAATCAGCTGCGCTTAACAGCCTGGCCTGACCTAGCGGCAAAAAAAAAGGGGGGGGGAAGGTTGCCTTTAGGAAGTAGTAAATCATGACTTTTTCAGGGAGCTGATTTTAAAAGGAAGAATTATGGGGAGGACTAAAGGAAAAGTTCTCGACGCGGCAAAGGGCAACGGGAGGTCACCGTATGTAAATAGCTCCTCTGGAGGGGGCTCCGGCGGCGCAGGGGTGTGGCTGCGGAGCGGCACTCAATCACTCCCGGAGCGCCGGCGCTGCCTCGTGTGGGGCTTGGCCGCCGTGCCTGCAGCTGCCTGAGTTTGCAGCGCGCGCCGCCCGGGGTTGGTTGGCGGCTTGATTGCCTGAGCCCCGAAACTCTCGCCTTGCAGCAGCACTACCGCCGGCTCAGCGGTCGGGGAACCATGCAGCGCTCCTGTCCCGGCCAAGCCGCTTGAAGGTGAACGACGGAGCCCGAAGAGAACCTGCGGTGGACCCGCGCCCTAAGTCTCTCCGGCTGCCCAAATTGGGGCGAATAGTGCGCGGCTGCCGACTTTTTCCCTTCCAGCGCCGCGAACCAGCATCCCCTGAGGTAAGAGTGGCGCCTTTTTGGTTTTGTAGAGCGATGAAAGCAAAACTTGAGCAGGGTGGTTGGTTTCCAAAATAATAATAATAAAAATAGACGCCGGTGTATTCTTTTGAGGAAAGTTCCGTTCGATGCAACAGCAAAAAGAACGCCGGGTTGATTTAAGGTTTGCGGAGCTCGACCATGCTGCTGGAGTTTTTGTTACATTATTATTATTATTATTATTGACGGGAGTAAATTGTGGTGGGAGGGGAAAGAAGGCTGTGTGTAGTCCGGGCCCATGTTGCATGTTTACTCAGAAGTAAGCCCTACCGGATCCAACGAGACTTGCCTACTCGCCATGAAGTGCGCACAGGGTTTCTGGCTACTACAGGGGTCAGTAACCTTTTCAGCCATGGGCGGGTCCACCGTCCCGCAGACCATGTGGAGGGGCGGACTATATTTTTTTTGGGGGGGGGGAATGAACGAATTCCTAGGCCCCACAAATAACCCAGAGATGCATTTTAAATAAAAGCACACATTCTATTCATGCAAAAACACCAGGCAGGCCCCACAAATAACCCAGAGATGCATTGTAAATAAAAGGACATATTCTACTTATTTAAAAACACGCTGATTCCCGGACTGTCCGCAGGCTGGATTGAGAAGGCAATTGGGCCACATTTGGCCCCCGGGCCTTAGGTTGCCTACCCCTGGGCTACTACATCAAGAGGAATGCTGGTTGGTTTGTAGTTAGGAGGAATAGCTTCCATTCTGAAATTGCCTACTCAGGTTTTAGAAGAGAATGCTTTTGGGGAACAAAATTGATTTCTATGGAAAGGCTACACAAGATTGTTGAATGCAGATTACTTAACAGTTCCCTTCATAACCTCAGTAGGGAGAGCGAAAGGTTGGGTTTTTCATCACACGTTAGAGTCGTGTTGATGGGGCATTAAAGTGAAGAGCGTAATCAATGGTTTAGTGCTTGTGAATACAGGCTGATACATGTATATATTTATGGCATGTTTATTTCTCCCCCTCCCCCCCAAAAAAGATTAATATAAAGACCCTTGGAGCTAACTTAAATGTACAAAGTCAAATAACTGGTAAATAACAAAACGTCTAAGATTATTGACTTACATTTGGCAAATAGCACACATGATGTGGCTTACTAATTGTGTTAGAGTTAGAGATGGTAGTCTGAAGATGTAAAGAAAGTGTGTGTGTGTGGAATGATTGTATAATATATCTTTAAAAATTCAGTTGTCAAAGATTATCCTGGATAATATGGTAAAATATTCATAACTGATTTCCCCCCTTCCTTAATCCACTTGTCTTATTATTGTAACATTCTGCATTGTTGGAACTACCAGTGAGAGTCAAAGTTGGTGGGTTGTCTTCCCTTAGTATAGGAGGTTGAAGATGGTCTTTTAAGAGCTTTTAAATTTCTTTCTGTGATTCATCAGTGTATAGGTATATAATACTGTACTTCCTGCGTCTTACGGGACCGCCTGTGTACTGTTCCTATGTCCCAAAGAATCCTGGAAACTGTAGTTTAGCCCCACACAGAGCTACAATGCTGATCATGCATAACAAACTACAGTTCCCAAGCTGTGTTTTGTTCTGGGGTGTGTGTGAATGTGCTTTAAAAGTATGGTGTGTTTGCAGCCTAAGCCTATATATGTGTAACAGCAGCAAGCACATCTCCCTCACCTCCACTTCACTTTCCTTTCTCTGTCTTCATGTGTTGAATTTTTGATTGTAAACTCATTGTGGGCGAGGACCTGCCCTTCTGTATTTTGTAAAGTACCATGAAGTGCTTCAGAAAACAATAATCATAATTATCACCAGCTCTGTTGTACTTTTCAGTGCCAACCTGTCTCACTTGTCTCTCCAGTATACAAGATTCTAATGTTTCCAGTGTATACGGTATTCTGCAAGGGTTAAGCTGCTTATTCAGATGCCTTCAAGATGTTTACTAACGCTTGTGCTCTCCACTATGTTGGCTTTGCTTAATTTGACCAGGGATTCCTTTGGAGTAGAAAGATGTTAGTAATAGAGAGCTTTTATTAAAGAGTTGCCAGCAATTGCGTATTTTGAGTTGTAAAAGGCAAGTGTGTCTGTTTAAAAAGCAGGTTACTATGGTAGTAAGAATGTGATGGAATTTGCCCATTATACATCCCAGCTGATTTTCTCTCAGCAGACACAACTGGTATTGAAGTACAAAACATTCCTCTTAAAGTAAGGTTGTAAAATGTGCTGGCCTTTAAAAAAAAAATCTACCTCTTTAGTTAGGAGTCCTATCAAATAGAATTTTATTCTTATAGTTGGGAATTAACTAAATTTATGTTGCTTTTCTCCCCCTAACCTAATCCCTTTCAGTCGTTTTACTGATTTGCACCCAAATTACCTTACTGTTGAACGCCCAGGAAGCCTTGGCGGTGTTTATATGGGCAAGGCTTAAGTGAAGGCAGGACTTTAGGATGGGGCTGGCTTCCTAACTAATTTGTTTTGGAAAGTTAGTAAAGAGTGAGAAGTGGGCTGCCTGTGTAACTCTGCTGACAACATTGTTCTCCTGCTTTGTTTGGCCAAAGAATGAATAGCTGGTTGTGTTTGTCCCTGAGAGGAGGAAGGGAGAGGAGAAAAGCCCACTTCTCTGGATATGACTCACCCTGAACTCTCTCTTTGTGAAGAACTGATGTGAATCTTAAGCTACTAAGAGACAGAGAGGCTGTGGAGCCGGTGTGAGCTATTGGGTTAGATAGGCAAGGAAATGGCTTGAGATTGGTAAATACGGAGAGAGAGAAAAGATTCCACTCAATTTTTAATATTTTTTCAAAGCAAAAACTGAAACTGCATTTGATGCAGTAATCAAGAAGATCTCTGGATCTCACAGGCTAGCCTACATTGCAAGGGTGGCGTGAGAAGGTATAATAGAGGATTAGGGGATGGGGCAGGGAATGAGAAAAATGACAGTGGTGTGTCCAATCTAGTCAAAATTAAGTGTTTTAAAGTTCTTGTATTCCATTGGGAGACATTTAAGGATGTCCATAACTCTGGATTGTACCTGAAATATATTCCACTTTTGCTAACTACATAGTTAGGCTGTTTTAATTGGATGAGTAAATAAAAACATACTTTGATTACATCAATAAACCACTTTGGGCTGGATTCATTCTCTCTTATTTTCTTTATTTCCTTAGAAGTCCATTATTTCAAAAAAAGGTGTTTAGGTTTATTCTTAGGAAAGTTATTTGTCTGGGAAAGTTCACATGCATATCCATGACAACTCTCAGAAATCATAGTAACGGAATGGTAGGAGGACAATGGATGGACATGCTCGACATGCAGAAGAAAAGAAAAAAGTCTGCTTAGTTGCAGAAGAGAGGCAGAGGACTTTCCACCCCCTTTTTTAGTTGGTCACTAGGTTTAAATTTTTTTTTAGGTCCAATTTGAGTCCTTACTAAGGTTGCAATCTCAACTATGCATACTTGGATGTAAAAACGGCAAAGTCTTGTGGCACCTTAAAGACTTAGCACATTTTGCCATAGTCTTTAATGGGCTAGAGCAGTGTTTCTCATACTTGTGTCCCCAGCTGTTGTGTCCCCATCATCCCTAGCTGTCAGGACCAGTGGTCAGGGATGATGGGAGTTGTAGTCCAACAACAGCTGGGGGACCCAAGTTTGAGAAACATTGGGGTAGAGGGTCACTAACATGTGCCCCTCCAGACAGCTGATGTTCAGGGATGGGGGTATTCCAATAACATCCTGAGGCCTATAAGTTAGCCACCTCTGGACTAGAGCTTGCTTGTCCTCTCGGAGGTGGTTAGCCTGTGTCTGGGCTACATCTTGCCATATTTCCTGCTGGGGACTCACATGGCAAATTTTCCCCTTTGACCACCTTAGTGAGAATGAAGCTAGTGAAGATTGTTGATGTACTGCTACCAGCAGATCACAGTGTGAAGCCATGGTTTATTGTTTGCTTATGAAACTGTGTTTGCCTTATTGCTTGGCATTATGCAGGAACCCAGCACCGTTAACTATGGTTTGTTGGCCACTCAACTCCAGAGGCTCAACAAGTAATAAAAGGCAAAAGGTGAGAACGGCTGGAAAACAAAAGAAACCTTGGAGAAACAAGCTAGAATATAATCATGTGGGGAAATTTGTGGTTTGTTAAACAAACCACGACTTAAATCAAGAGTGAGGAACCTGTGGCCCTCCATATTTTGTTGAGTGCCAGCTCCCATCAGCCCTAGTCAACTTGGTGAATGGTCAAGGGTTATGGGAACTGCAGTCCAGCAACATCTAGAAAACTACACTTTAGCAATCCCTGGCTTAAACAAACCATGACGTAGTGTTATGTGCAAACCAGGCCTCTGTTTTGTCTGCTTAGTATTTTCATGATCTCTCTCATGCATCTGACAAGGCAGATAATAGCTTATGTCACAGTAAATTAGTTAAGTCTTTCAAGGTGCCACCGGGTTGTTCTGTCTGATTTTATTGCAAGAGACTAACATAGCGGTCCTTTTAGAATCTGCCCTTACCTTTAAGTAAATCTGATAATAAACAGCTGAGTAAGCATGCACTGGACTGGGGAGCTTGCTGCTTGTTAACTGGTAAGAATTACAGAGCTCTCACTGTAAACCAGAGATGACCAACCTTTCAGCAATAGGGATCCTGTACTTTCATAGTTGTATAAAAGAGGATATTTTGGAAGGTGCGGCTTTTTAAGCTGTTCAGCCCTGTGGCGTGACTGAAGTTCATCTGTTCAAAATTCATTTTTCTCTACATAGGAATTAAGGGTTTTGGAGCTCTGATGTTGAAAGGTTGATCATCCCTGCTGTAAAATATCTTGACATGTTACTGAGTGACATGCTATTTGAGAAGGTTAAATGTAGTTCCCTTCCTTCAATATGGAGTGAACCTTTCACAAAGAGTCATATAATATGATCAAAAGAGCTAAATCATGAATTGCATTCCTCTCTGAAATCTGCTTATTAGCTCTTATTTGAGCTGTCAGCAGAACGT